CCCACAAAGTGTATAGGGAATCTTAGACATCACTTAGACGGCACAGATTTCTATCCTGCCTTGGAACATCTGAAGTTAGATAATGCCTCATTGAATTTTTTCAGCTCCTACCTCCATTCCTGCCTGTAGCTCTTAATGTTTAGTTAATGGAGGAAAGAAATGTTTCCCTAGTAACTTAAAAGAGATTTGTCTGCTATAAAAACACACAGGAACACCAGATTAAAAGGTAATCCTAAGAAAAAGCACTCAAAATGGATTACAAGGTAACAAAGTCAACACAGGCATACACGTTAGTGACAGCTTATATTTGCTAATGCTGTATGCATGAGCTGGTTAGTCAAAGCTGCTGAATCTGGCATAATACATGAGCATATCAGTTTCAATAAACAGCAAGACAGATTTTATTTCAGCTTCAACACCACATATTGCAAAATCACAAATGCATTTAACCAGGCGGATACATGACAATTCCTTGACAAACATATCATCTCTTTGACATTGGTTTCAAAGGACTAAGTTGACTTTGGCTGTAGTCCTTCTGCCTGCTGTGTTATTGCAGCAATGAAGATCAACACTGCATTACAGCAGGACTGTAGAGAAAAATAATCTTCAAAAATATAACAAAAGAAAATGATTTATCAGCAAGTCAAGAACTGGGATTCATTTACTTCTTGCCACTCTTATACCTGTTTAGCCACTTTTCTAATATTTCACAATCAATGAAGAGAACTTCAGACAGTGTCAGAAATCTTAGAAAAATTCAGTGGCAGAAAGTACCAACTTTCTGATAATCACAGTAACTAAACAATATTTCTACCCCTTAAAACAAATTCAGTGAAAAAAGAGGCAGATCTTTCTACATTCACACTAACTCTTTGGATAAGTATTATGTACTGATCCCAAACATAAGAATTTTACCTCACAGACTTGAAGTCTTCATTTTGTGACTCCTTAATACAATAATAAAAGTTTTATGAACTCAAATGACACTATTAAGAGAGGAAAATTACCCAAAGCCTCTCTGGACTTATTCACAGCACTAGAATATTTAGTTCTTATTTCATAAGCTCTGGTTATACATGAAAATGAACCATTAAAGTCCTGGTCCAGAGCCAAGTTTCCCTAATACATAGAAGTTTAAACTACAAAGCAAGCTGCTGCTGGAAGACATTAGAACTGTATGGGATCTGTGTCATTGCTGTGTTCTGGAAGGCACTGAAGAATGATTATGCCATACTACTGGAACTGATCAAGTTCCCCTCCAACAAAGCACACCAGTCATGCCTTAACAATGGAATATCTTGACTTATAATTTTTATGACACAGGGATAAGAACACCTGCTCATTGACACCTGGATGTAAGTAGCCAGGACGCTACTTGAGGATGAAGTGACAGTGATGTATTCAGTTGGGACAGTGACAGGGACTAAAAGTGAAGACACCACTAGTGATGGGTCATTCTGAATATAAGCATAAAGGTTTAGGAAGTCAGAAGCACTGGAGAGCCTCATCCCATGTCTTGACATGTTTTTGAAGGGGTATAGTCTCAGCTGTTTTACTATATGCTGAATTCAATGCTGCCTATGTGAGTGGTGCATGCTCATGGCATAGCTATTGGATTAGCCTTTGCTATTAAAAGCAATAGATGCATATTTTGTGAAGCCAGAGATTAGGTGTCAAATGTTCTGCATAGTCAAAATTATGCCAGCACAGGAAGGCAGAGCAGCAGCATTTTACACACCTAAAAAAATGTCAGTAGGCTGATCGTAAGATGTTGCAGGATTCTCAGTCACACTACAAGTAAACAAGGATTTTATAGGGACTGCTCACCTGGACCCACAGACCTAAATTCATCCCAGGTGGCAATTTTGGCACATAAACACTGGGTTGGGGCTTGCTTTCTTTTTTATTCTGGCTCTATGTTTCTTTCTCTCCTGTAACAATCCTGACAAACAATCTATTTGTCTGTGACATCCATCCTGGCTTATGATAACTCACGATGTGGTTGAAGCTGAACATGTGGGTAAAGTACGGGCTCCAGATGTGACTGCTGATCTTTTCCAATGCTCACATCATTACAGAATAACAGACCTGCAATTAAGGCTCTCCACAAGTTTCCAAGTAGTTTCTAAAACAGACCCAATAAAGAACTGAGACATTTTAGGTTGTTCATCCACATGATTTAATAGGTACCCTGTTTCACTGCATAGCAAAAATCAAGAGCCTTAGAATTCCAAACCAGACAGTCCAGATGCTGAGAAGCCTAGGACGCACTGTGCACAGAGGCATAAAAATGGACACCACCTGTTCAGTTCCTCACTTGGATAATTGAAGGTCTCACCACCACCTTCAAGGAAAAAGAACCCTGCCATCTGTTGCAGAGGCACTGACATTATTTCTTGGGATTTTTCTGGTCATAGAAATTTTTTATTCCATTCTACCCAGTGGCACAAATTCATCCAGGTTTACTAGAAAGTCTGTTCTTTTTCAGTTCATAATCACAGGATAAGCTAAGTTGAAAGGGACCCATAAGGATCATCAAGTCCAGCTCCTGGCCCTGCACAGCACCATGCCCAAGAGTCACACTGTATGCCCAAGAGCACTGTCAAAACACTTCTTGAGCTCTGTCAGGCTTGGTGCTGTGACCACTTCCCTGAAGAGCCTGTTCCAGCGCCCAACCACCCTCTGGGTGAGGAACACTTCTCTAATATCCAAACTAAACCTCCTGTTACAGCTTCATGCCATTCCCTCAGGTCCTGTCATGAGTATATATTTAATCTTCCCAGGCTGGGTAGCAAGTTCAGTCTCAGTTCATTTGTTTAGTCTCACATTCAGGTTTGCATCACAACGGCTTTTTTTCCAAGGGCTGACTTCACTTTCAGTCTTTGAGAAGCTCAATATTGTTTGTGTCATTTAAACATGCTTGCTCATAGGGTCTTGGATGGAAGAAAATTCATCAGGACCTACAGGAAAACTGCATACTTCAGCTCAAAATGAGCCAATTCTGTGCCTACAGAGAAAACTAAACAGGAAAATTTATTATTAAATGGGAAAGTACTACAGTAAGGTTAGTCACCTTCAGGGGTAAATGGTACATAAATTAGGGAGTCTTTAAGATGTCAATTCTGGCACCATGTTTAGGCTTAACTACTAATTATTAGACAGAGTACAGTCTAAGTACTGCTCACCTTTTCACTGGGTGAATTTTTAAGCCTGTGAATGTTTCACGACCTGGTTTTATTTAAGTTTGTGTTTTGATATATGAGCTATAGTGGCTTCTAAATAGCAAAGCCTCAGCTGAAACACAGGAAAAAGAAGAAAGCTTTTTTGTGGTGATCCAACCATGCATCCAGGGCAGGTCAAGAAAATCAGGGTGTTCACACCTTCAGAAGTTTTTGAAAGTCTTCTTACTAGACTCTGCAGGAGAGATTTAGTATTTTGGAATTATAGGCAAGATATTTCTTGCCTCATCTGAACACATTTCTTTGTTTATCCTTTGACTTTTATCATGAGAAGAGTGAAACAAAGTACCTTATATTAATTTTGACTATCATTTAGGTCATAAACAGGATAGAGATATTATATCAAATTTATAGTTTTGTGTTGCCTGGAATGCTAAGATTGACTTTCTTAAGCTATGCCAATTCTAAACTACACAACTGGCTAAAAGATCTCAGAAAAAATCACTTTGGTATTTCAAAGGCAAACCGTGCCTCAGCTGTAACTTGTCAGACTTGAGTTTCAGACAAAAAAAATTCAGCCTTTTCTTTTTTAATGTGTTATCTTTCACTTTCTTTCATCTTACCTTTTGACCAGATTTCATATTTTTGAGAAAAATTGAGAATACTGATAAAGAGCACAGTCCAGGGTTTTAGATTTTCATGTCACCAGGTTCAGAAAAAGTATAGTTAAGTACACAGAGAAGTACAGACAGATCCTACACAACCAACCAGTAAGAGTACTGAAGTTTCAGGCTGAAAAACATGACCGTATTTTCATGGCACACCTGAGCATTTATAGATGGGATTAGGCTCTTTGAATGTGTCCATTTGTTCATTATTGATCTAGAAATGACAGTGCAGTTCACTGGCATCTTGTGATACTGTCTTTTAAATGCCTTCTTTTAAGGCATTTAAAAGAACAGTATCATTATCAATAAAGCACAAAAAACAAATTGTAAATGGTCTCCTTTATGTAAGCTAGTCCAGTAAAATACTATTATCCTGAAAAACTGTGACTTCTGAATGAGAATATCAATTCATAGCCTACATAATGAAAAATCTAATTGTTTGATGAAACCTTGGATGAAATGTATCTCCTTTGACACCACTATGAACCTGAATGATGTTGAAAACCTTCCCAATTTTTATTTGCTTCATATAATTAGGTTTTAATAAGGTGACCAAAAAAGGCAACTACAACAAATTTAACATATGTAACAAATAAGGAAATTTGCAGGAGTATTTGAAGCATCTGGCAGAGTGCCACTCACCACAATGTCTTGGAACAAGATAAAGTCATCCATAATTTAACAGATGTTAAAGAAAATTTAAAAGAAGTTCTATTGCAAAAAAATTCTTATGGTGAATTCAGATTTAGCTCCATGTTCATAACACAGTGACTTGACAAATGAAAAGCAAGAATTCATATAAATAAAATACATAATAGAATGGCCACACACAGTGTGAGATCTCATAAACTACTGAAAATATTTGTACTGTTCTGAAAGACATCTTGATTAAAATTTAACTATGTACTCATTGCTTCTACCTGGTTTTCCTGAAAAGAACTAAAAATTCAATTTAAAACATGGTAAAATGTCCTAATGTTTATACATTTTTCTCATCTGTAGAAGTACAAAGTACAGGGTACAGGGTTCTATAATGCAGTCATTTTTTTCTTACTTACAAGTCTGACAATTCCTGACAAGACAGTACAGTACAATAACTCTTCCCATTTAAAAAACAAAACAAAAAAAACCAAAAAAAAACAAAACAAAACTATTTTGCTTCTTTGATTCAATGATTTTCTTGTTTCTTTTCCTGATGCAAATGTCCTTGGTCAAGGAAAATGGAAAATGTAATCAAGCTGCAAAAAGAAAAATCCATTTAATTGATAGTTCCAGTACTGAAGGAAGCTTGTGCAACCTTCGAGTTTGTTTTCTTGCTCAAAGCTGTGCAGATGAAATTTCCAGCTTCCATCACAGCACAAAGATTTACTCCCTAAAAAAGAGGTTAAAAATGTTAATAATAATAAATGCACATGTTGAAAATGCTTAGACTCCAAGTTTTTTGCTCCAGGGTCTAATTTTTTCCAAAGGGCCTGATTCATGTTATAGGTCAGTAATGGAGATCAGTAAAGCTACAGTGATTTACGGATAGTTACAGCTTCTAGTTGTTTGAAAGGTTCTATTACTTTGAGAGTGATTCCTTGTCGCATCAGAAGTGGACCAAATACTGGAGTAATATCTTTCAATCCCAAAATAATCTGGAATAAAGAACTGGAATTACAACTGGAAGTTAGAAGAAAAATATAGTGTCTAAATATGTGTTATACGTATTTATCATTCAACACTATAAAACTTCATGCTTGCAAGTGCCCCACTTGCAGCTCAGGAAAATGGAGGAGACACACTTGTATCAGCAACTGAATCCAGGAGAAATGGGATCCTGTATTCTCTTGAATAATTATAATCTCCTTCTTGAAGGAGTCCATTTCAATTCAAAATTACAATTTACCTTGATAACACAGCTGAGCAAAAACTCACAACTGCTTCATCTGCCCATACTAAAAAACATGCCCTTTGAGCAGCTGTTTTTTAACTACATATCAGTACTGCTTGATTGCTAAAATTTAATCAGATCACTGATTAAAGAGGCAAAACCACTTCATTAAAAGTCTCCTTTATTACTCATGTATAGTAGAAGTTTTAAAATTAGATCATATTTGTGATTTAAGTACTTCCTCCAAAGATTGCAATATAGAAGCCAGAGTAAAGTTCCTGTAGAAAGGATGCAAAAGGAGACTTTGAATGACAAATACACCAAGCAGTCATTCAAAACTGGGAGAAGGGTGTCACTCTTCTTTAAGGAGTACAAGGTGTATTGTACCAAAAATTACACTTTCGTCACACTTCCAAATTGATGCACTAATATTCAGACCAAAACCTGACTTAAACACTTAATCCTTTAACTGGATCTAGCGCTTATTTCCATGTTCTGTGGTAAAATTTGCCTTTTTCATTCTTGGAATTGGCCAAAAATGTTAATGAGAATAGAAATGACTTAGCAGAAATGTAATAAAAAAATATTTTTAACTTGAAAAAAATGCTAGCACCATCTAAACCACATAATTCAAATCTATCTATCTATCTATCTATCTATCTATCTATCTATCTATCTATCTATCTCATTTTAATACAGTTACAACAAGGTTTATTTCAGCTTATTCTGTTTATCTTTTATAGGTCATTACTTAGATTTAGTTTCTAAAATGCTATCACACATAACATAATCTAAGAAATTTTAATCTATCTGCACTTTCTAACAAGGAAGAAATGAGCAATTTACCCCCAAAGACATACTGGTAGTTAGATTATGAAAGTTGTCAAAATAAACTCTCCAAACTACACAATAGTCAAGTTTTCATCACTGCAACACTGCACCATGTGGTATGTGTTGGTAAGAAACATACTTTCACAGTTCACATTCATTAAATGGAATACATGAATCTCTGCTTTTTATACTGTCTTCCTTAATATAATATTGTGAAAGAGGACTACCATGAGAGAAAAAAACCCAGCATTCATTAGTATGACTCAGAGATAGGAATGGGACAGGAGTAAGTGTTTGTAAGGTTGTCAACAAAATAATGTGTCTTCAGGTAGATACCCAGAATGTATTTCCTAAGTATCCTTGGTAATCACTCAATATATCCAGAATTACTCCTGCACTCCAAGGTATTAATTTCCCCCCCAAAAAATCCAAAGAAAAGTGCCTCTAATAAACTTGGATAGGTGCCTTAAATCACAAAAACTTCTGCCAGAAGGCAAAATCCTTTAATTCTCATTGACTTCAAAATCATGTCACATTTACTCTGCCAAAGATTAATTTCACGGGTCACTTATTGTTTATGTGTTCTGAAGAACAGTATAGAAAAAGCAACAATTATTATTTTGATGTATCTTGTCAATCTGAACTCAATAATTCACAGATATCACAGAATACTCTGAATTGAATGGCTCATACGGAGATCAGACCTGTGACCTTGGTGCTATCAGGACCATGCTCTGACTAACCGAGCTAAAATAATGTATGGTTAAATAACGTCCAACATTGTCTGACACTTAAGGTGAGTTCACTCAACTAACTGAAAACTTTAGTGTATAGTTGAGATGACCATGAGAAACTGCTCCTTGCAAATGGACATTAGCAATTACAATTTAAGTTTTTGCCATTACACAAATATTAATATTAATAATGATTTTACAGAATTGGCAATGGTACCAAAACCAGCCAACATTATAAAGAAAAAAGCTTATATATTATGGTAATGACTTTGAGCATCCAGGTCTCTCATCCAGTAAAACATTTAATGAGCCAGAAAGAATTCAAAAAGCAAAGTCTTGTGTTTTGCTATTGCATAATCTAAAATCTAAAATTAAACAAAACCTGAGTAAAATCACCATTAAACCAAACAAAAGAACTAAGCATTTAATGATGAGATTGTCTTCATGGGATTTGGTATCAACCTTTAGGACAAATTGGGTTCTTGCTTTGCCACCAGATTGTTAAAAGATTAATCAATCTTATCAAGAAGCCTGGGACACTGTATATTTCATATAATCAGACTATTTTTGCTTAATTACTTCCTTTTGCTATGAGTCAGTTGGAAAGGTCAATGAGTATTTCGCCCAAGGAAAGACTATACTAAAAGCCCAAGTCTAAGGTGCGCAGCAATGTAAAGTGAAATGCATTATTTCTCCTCCTTATTACAAAGAATTGTGTTGTTTCAAAAGAATAAACATCTTCTTCATGAAGAAAAGCTACCCCAAAGTGTGTATAAACAGTTCAAAACAGAGTCCACTTGTACATTGGACACTTGTGATTGAACATTTTCTAAATAAGTGTCTGACATCTACCCTGAACTTCCTAAAAAGCAAATGAGAGCAGAAAAATGCTTACAGTGAACTCTGTAAGGCACTGAATATGCTTTAACATTGCCCAGGGGATGTGCAACTCAGAAACAAGTTCTGTAATCCTTTCACATCAAGGAACTCCACTGGCATGTACACCACACGGAACTGCAGCCTACAAACATGTGATAAGTTCCAATAAGCTCCTCAGTAATTCAAATCTTCCTATTCCTGATATCAGGCATTTAGATTTCTTTCTGCAGTAGTTTAAATGGAAACCACTCCCTTCGTAGTTTTCGCAGTTCTTTATTTGTTCTCCTTGGAACTTGGCTCTCCAAGTCTATGTGTAAATTAAACATAAAGTTACTGCAATGTCTGAGTTAGCATGGACTCATTATGCCACATATCAAGAAAAATGGGGGCCGACAGGAAGACCAATGAGCACATTTATTGAAGAAGGCAGTAATTGAGTCCTAGGAATACAGAATAATTAACATGCCAACCAAGCCAGGGATACTAAATGTGTGCTCTTAAGGTGTGGATGTTCACTGGTAAGGTTCATTAAAGTGCAGCTCAGTGCATAAAAGCTGCTCTGCCCTCTCCTCCAAGAACAGGGCTGGTAATAAAAATGATTGTGAAGCCTCTTAGCCAGTAACAGTTTCTGTACAATTTTGAAATATATTAAGTGGAGACTTGAGAAATAACGATGTCCTGTGCTTAGGTGCCAAACATCACAAATTTTTTCAACTCTGAAGTCAGAAAAATTGACAACAAATTAATAAACACTATGAGCCAAATCCAAAACTAAGACAAAAGCTGAGCTCTGCTCAGCCTTTCCACTATTGAGATGATCAGCCCTTATAAGCAATGTCTACAGTAATTATTTTTTTTGTGGTTACTGAGGCAGAGCAATGACACAAAGCAGCTGCTACTAAGTTACTCATAGCTCCAGGTAGGAAGAAGTGGACTATTCAAATTATGTTAAATACACAAACCATTTCTAGTCTAAATTGATAATGAAGACAACATAATTCCTGTTATGTGTCAAGCCATATTAATGCATTGAGTTTGCAAAAACTACTATGGGCTCAGAATTTTTTTCCTTAGAGTCTTAAGTAGAAAATAAATATATCTTACTGTGTTGATCCCCAGACCATTCAGCATGTATATCACATCCTCTGTGGCTACATTTCCAGTAGCACCTTTTGCATAGGGACAACCACCAAGTCCTGCAACAGATGAATCCACTACAGCAACTCCCATCTGGAAAATAAAAACACAAAAATGAAGCATCAGCACAGAGTATAATTTATAATTTTTCATAAATGGCAGGTCATATGTATTAGTTACCATGCATAAAATATGCATTTCTCCACAAATGGATGTGTTCCTTGGAGAAAATTCCTAATAATACCTTTAATCCTGACATCTTTATAAGGTAAGACTTTTCAAACACAGGATATGGAACAAAGAACTAATGGTCCATTACATGTGATTTTGGCAAATAAGATGATTGTTGTTTTATAGACAGAGGTTTGAGTCTTTTATCTCTTTATCTTTCAACTTGGTGTTTTTAAATAAACTGCATCTAGTATGAAAGGTTTTCATGCAAAAAAAAAACAATCAGTGGAAGTTCTCAAAAGATCTATATAGGTTCTGAGCTTGGAATCTTTAAGAGAATACTTAGTGCACTGTGTTAAGCTTTTTCATTTAAACTGGAATTAAATACTTGAAAAAACACTCAGCTGTGGTAAATTCATAATTGTTTGCTTTTTATTTTCTTCCTGCTGCATTCAAATGTCTTCTCTCTTCTGATCCACTCACCATATTTTTATGATAAAAAGTAGTAAACTGGTTACCAACTCCACCCAGGAGATAATACATTTCCTATGAGATAAAGTCTTCCCTAGGAGACTAATAATGGAGGAGACAAAAAATTGAGCCAGTGACTTCTACTGATATGTGTGTAGTGAGCTTTTGCTCTTCTTTCTATGACTTGACTTTAAAATAAAGCCGAAACTGGAAAGCAATATTTTTCTATTACATCATGTTAGGTATTTGATTCGGGACACTGGGTCTCCCTTGTCAGAGAAGGCTCTTCAGTCTTTTCCTTGCCTCTGGAAGCATTGAGGCTCTACAGAAAATCAGAAGCAGGCAAGGGAGTTAGGCAGAAAAATTATTAGGTCTTCAAAGACACTAGCTCCTCTCTGCCTTATGCACACTAGAGGGTTCCCTTCCCCAAAGGAATAATTTAGAGAGACACACACCAAAACTGTAAGACAGGTCAGGCAGACTGAACTTCAGAACAGGATCTCTTGTGCAGAGATAAATTTTCAAAACCCTGACTTTAGGTATGGAGAGATTCAGAGGTTAAACCATGCCTGTTACAAACATATGCACATCAGGGAGTTTGGCTTAGAGGCCTGACTGCACAGATTGCTGATCTCCCTTCTGAGAAACCTACCTGTCCTTGCAGGCTGGCCTGGGAGCCTGAGCTTCTCCTTCGCAGGCATGTACACAAGTAGCTGGCAAGGAAGGGAAACGATACATTGTGCATGTTGCAGTTGCTAAGACCCCTTCCTAAATATACCTACTAGTTGGTTTTTAAGTTCTGAAATAAATTACTCTAACATTTTTGGGTATTTTGCATTTGCTTCTGGTTTTAACAGTGTGTTCCATAGTTTTATCATAGGCCTTACGGGTTCTTTGAACTTTCAGAATCTGGAAAGCAATAATAAAGAATTAAGTGTTGTCCCAGGTCCTATTCTTGGACAGAAAATATTATCTTGATCTAAGTAGCTACTCAAAGCCTGTAATGAAAACCTCAAAGGAATCGAGGTGCATAACTGTGACAGGCAAGAGACTATTTAATATTGCTCACAAAATGAGAGTCTCTAAAAAGAGATACTGCACTTTAAAGTACAGTAATCTGTGACTTATGGAGTGAATCACCAAGTGTATATTTCACATTTCTGTCTCTTGTCACACTCTTTGTTTGTGTAAGCTACCAGTCAGAAAATGTGTTATATGACACATCTGTGTCCAGTACTTGGAGGATATGGATTCATGACCACTGGAAATTCTGTCTTTTTGCACTAGCTGCCATGATTCTTACATTTACTCTAGAAGTCATTGTGCCAAGCTCCACAGTGGCAGCTTTCACCTCACAAGTGTCTCTGCAGAGACACACATAAGGCTTCTTATTGGAATGATTTGGAGTATGGTGAAGATCTGCAGAAAAGAGTATCTAGTATGTGGATGTACAGGTTGATACAACATGATCCCACTACTATGCCTGCTCTCTTAGTCTGATTTTAAGATTTCCATTAGAAATTATTGTTTCAGAGATGAAAAGATAAAATAAAGTGTCTTTCGTGGAGGTTTTCCCAATCTGGAAGGTTATATCGTAACTGCTAGAGCATTCTTCTTCATGTTATCATTTTCAGTAACTTTTACATGGGGATAAACAATAGGCAAATAATGTGGTGAGGTACATCATGGCTGTTAAATTTCCAAGGAATATCAGCAGACTCAGAAACAGCTTCATTAGCATATAAACAGTCACTTTCTAATCCCAGAAAATTATCTCAATAAATTCTTGCCCTTTTTCACAAATGGGAATAAAAAATATCAACTAAATAGTATTTTGTAAAAAACAGCCAAAAATGTCAGTAGCCTGCTCCAGTCCTTCACAGGATACTCACTGTAAGCAAAACCAAGAAAAATATCCTCCAGCATTAAAAGGGCATGTTTTCTAAAGGCATTGAATATATATACACATATTAATTCTTGATATCCTTGTACATACACTAGTGATGCCACCTTAATTCTGAATTTGCAATGCAAATCTCACAGCAGTGGGGTACGTTGTTTATAATTGTTCATTGAAAGCGAATATCACAGCGACTTGAAGGTAACATGAAACATCTATCTTTGTCTAACCACATCCTTGTATTCTTAGGCAGCCTTGTCTGAGTTACTGAAAGTACCTTCACTGGAAGCCAGAGTAAGCTCAGACAATTATCTTACCATAGATGCAAGAGCATATAAAACTGATGCCTTTTGTTGGCTAAGCAATGGGAGCAGTAATTTCCATATGACAGACAGTGATAATTGCTCTGTATTTTAAATCATTGACTATTTTGGCTAAATATAAAAAAAGGAGGAAGTCTAATAGTGCCTTTACATCGGTAGCATCCTTGGGGGGGATGGTTTTAACCCTAGTACAGGACACTTAATCCATTACTTCCAAGAAACAGTGTATAAACATGAAGTCTCTAAAATTGTATATCTATCAGGATGTATTTACTATCTGAAAATTAAGCCAGTGGTAGACAAGATATAAACATGGCATATATAATATAGCAACCCTGACTGACCTCCAAATTTGACAGTTCTTCAAACCAGTGGTCTTAATATGCAGTGAGCAGGTGCCTCTCCTTTAAGATAATGTCTTTTAAAGTTCTCTTCATAAGGCTTTTGATAGGATACCTACTGAAATGTACTTCTATTTCAGCAACAGGGTCAGCTGCATGTCTGCTCTTGCATTTTGTACAGACAGTTATAATATGTTTGTTGACTCAAGCACAGAATCACTCCAGTTCATCTTCAGTGTGGCCCCATTCAAAAAATTCCTTAAATAATCCATACTCTAAGCTCCAATCTAACAGTGCTAAAAACAGATGTTGGAAAACATCCCTCAGCAGTGCTACTAACTAATTTGGAGGTTGATATTACAGCCTAGCCTGTCCAAGCACAGAGTCTGAAATAGCACCTAATAAATAACTCCTCTGCACATTTGAGCAGCTATGAAGCTGTTTTGCTTTTGCAGCCATTAAAAGCACAAGGAGCTCTAAAGTAAAACCTAAAAATTGACAAAATATGTAAAACAAGGTCTTTTCCTTCATCATATCATACATATTTGTCAGACTTTTACAGGAGATAATGAGTTTCAATCCTTTTAGCAATCCACGCTTGCAGAAAATTCAGTCAATCTGACATTTAAAAAGTCCAGTCTCACTGTCACTTCCTGACAGGCACTAAATTGTGCTGACATTCATGAGAAGTTGTACTGCAGCTCTTTCATAGGATATGTCCTAGATGACCACTCACTGAGCTGCTTACATATGGATATGTGTGAGGGTGAACAATGGATTGGCTTCTAGGACAACTATAGTACTTCGATATTTTTTGACACTTTTTGATAATCACAAAATTTCTGACAGTGGTTCCTGAACACCTTCCAAACCTTAGCTTTGGCTAGCTTTAGGTTACTCTCTAGAGAAGGGAGAGGACTTTTTTGCTCCTGTCCCATGCTAACTTCCTAATTCCCCAATGAGAAAGCAAGGAATTAAATTCATCACCTTTGTCAAAGAGCCAGTTTTAACAGGAAACCATTATTTCCAGTGAATAATAAATGCTTCATGTTTCTCAGTTTGCTTTACTAGCTCCCCATAACTTCTTGTTGGGACAGTCAGTCTCCTTCCTTACTGATCTTTAAACCTGGTTTGTTTGGCAGAAGTTTAACTTTGCATCTCTCTTAAAAATGGCAAGGTCAGCATCAGTAACTCCAGGAAAGTATGTGGTATAAATCAGAAGCTATAAATCAGTTGTTTCATAAATTAGGCTTATTCTAAACTTTGAGATTTTGAAAGCATAATATCAAGGAAACAAGGTACACATTAATCAGGAAAATATTTGTGCCACGAAGTCAGGGGGCCACAGCACTGTGAAGTTCAGTACTCAATGTCTTAAAGATAGGTGCATGTAGATATGGCAAAGAATTGCTGAGTTAGTTCAGCATTTGTTCAATGAAGGGAGGAGGCAGGGAGGAAGAAGTAGGATATGTCAGGTTAAAGGCTGCCCACACAAAAGGCAGTAAGAGACTAATTCTATTTAATCCTGCAGCCTGGTCAGTGCCCAGCTAGCACTCTGGTGTGGTTCTGCCGTATTACTGTGTCCCTCTGGCATCAGTCTGCTACCCACTACTACAGGGTATGCCACTAGCAGAAATACCCTCTCCTGTACAGAGACAGAGAGGTAACCTCAGAAACAGAAATAACTATGCCAGCAATGCTTTGAAAGGTTCAGTGGCTACAAATCTCTTCTCTAATTTACATTGTCAAGTTGTCTAAAATCAAAGCTTGTCATTCTTCTGTATTTCAATAAAATAAATGTATGCAAATAAATATTATTTTGTTATTTAAGAAATTAAAACATTTTCTATGTATAAGGCAATAAAATGGGATAACATCTCTCTGTGG